GGAGAAAAGAAGCTGGGTAGTGACAAGAAGAAAGAATTAGGTTGCTCGTAACTGCTTGACCGGCGACAAGTCTTCCTCGAAGAGAAAAACATCTGGCCGATAGTCGTCTATCAGCTCAAGGCTGCAAATACGTAATGGTATCCGTGAACCGTAGTGCTAAGTTTTGCGAGTATATTACCAGACAAGCATGAGACTCAGCAAAACGTAATCGAGCAATCTTTAGTTAAGCGGGGACTCCGTTGAAGTTGGCTTAGCTCAGATACGTTTCTATTAGAATCAGTAAGCACAGCGAAATATACGATTATCTTACTTTGGCGTTGAGGTAGAGGCAAGAACCATATTTAGTTAACGAGGACAAGAACAAGTTAATGAGGACACGTTAAACTAAGAGAGTTGTGTCGAGTTCATCGTTGCGGCTAACAAATAAACTAATTTCTTCTGAAAGTCTGCCTTCTAGTAGTTATGAAAAGAGGAAGATGTTATCGATGCATGTATAGCACTTAAGTAAGCAACGTTTCCACCACCCTTACGTCACGGTAAGAACTGAAGAACGGGCTACGTTTACAGGTAGCGTTGGTACTCACTTAGTATTCTCGTTCACTTGTCTGCGTTCATATTTTTCATCACCGATCCGTTATGTCGTAATAATTATCTTTGTTTCATTTCCCGTGCTTTTCGTTGCCTCATGGACAAGTGGCCGGCACTGACACGTTCGCTATTCAACTAATCCGACCAGAGTCAGCACAGGAGTGACAGCAGCGTAAGGTCCTCAACGCCGAGAAGAAAGGGGCAAACAGAACAAAGGCAGTAAGCAAACGCGCGAAACAACAAAACCGACTATTTCTCATCGCATCTAAAACTATCACCCGTCTGCTATAAATATGTTTGCTACCGGCGTGATAGTGACTGTTGTGAAATTTACTTTTATAATGAATTCTAGGGGCGGAGGGAGGGCTGATTGGAGAAGTATTCGATGGTTGTTCTACACGAGTGAACGACAAGGGGGCGCAGGGGATTCAATCGTGTGTGCATAATAGAATAAGAACACCCGTTACCGTATTGGTCTTCTAACAGAAAAGAAATCGAGTCGACTGAATTTATAAGTTGAATTGGACTATTTCGCTGCGTGTATTAGCTACTTTTGACTCTGCGCTTTGAGCCACGGGCTTTTAAACTTAATCATATACAAACGCTCAATGGCGTGTTTAAGAAATCCTAGAAAAAGAGAAGCAGGAAGCAAAAGAATTGACTCTAATAGTCCTAAAAATGATCTCGGTTCCCCTACCCATTTATATTTTTCTTTGTGAAAAAAAATCTAGATGAATCGCAGACGTTCAAAATTAGAATCGTCCTCATCAGTATAGCGGTGATAACGAATCATTCATAAACTTTAACGAACGTTTGATTCTTGCGGTGCACTCGTGCTCAATTGCGGTTTGTAGATCTTTTAATTATAGTCAGTTCTCTGGTGCAGGGCCTATCATCAAAGTATATCGTGCGAGAAAAGTCCTATTGCCGTCAGGTTCAGACAATCGGCAGAATACTCTGAAGAACCTCCTCTGCAACAACTCCATATCTGCCTAAGACTTCTATTAAAGTATGCTCTTACATAGGGTGAGGGCGCTCTATCCTGTTGGAAGTAAAATTTGCCACCTTTACTTTCAAGTCTTCACGAGTGCGTCATAAGAAATAACTTGCAGTAAAGTTAAATAGTAATAAGTAACAACTGTGCTTGCTGGCAGAAAACAATGGTCCAGTTAATCATTCACCTGAAATTTCGCGCTAAATTGTAATTGCTGATAATTTTCAATGGTATTTTTTCGCTGTTTCAATGGTATTTATAGCTGCTCAGTAGATGCAATTAGGCCGATCAATTAATTATGCTATTGAGTTATATTATAGTTTCTTTATTCCAAATAATCTTCCCTGAAAACTATGTATTCTGTCTACATTTCCATAAATATTATTGGCAAAATTATATTCTTTCCGGATCATCATCTGTGATAAAGGTCAACTTTCCCTATCCTACAGTGTCCTAGAATGCGATGACGGCTTGATTTTTCTAACGCCGATCAAATCAGGCATCCTGCGACTTGGTTGTCCCACAGACTGAGATCTCTCGCTAAAACTTTTCGCTTTTTTTCTTCACCAGTAAAACTAGTTGACATAGGGAACGTTGCCTATAACATCCTGAATAGTTCTCTATCTGCTTCAAACTTGTCTCTGATCCGATTAACGGTGAGTCGCATAGATGGATCTGCCTGCAGCGTTTTATCTGTACGTATGCGTCCAATAGCACTCCGTTTTCTCAGTGTTTTTAATTAATTATATCGTGGAACGGAAGAACAATGAGAGGAAACAGTTGCGTCATGTATAGTCTTATAATGCACTAAATGTTGCACATTACAATTTATCATTCATGGAAGTTTAGAGTCTATGATGAATTTTTTATGAGTGCCGCGTTGGAAGGCTACCCGAGATATGGAAGAATGGTCATTTACAGACAAAATGTCCTCGGGCGAATCCTCAGAGTCAGCATAATCTATTGTAGCCAGTGTGAACTTATTCAGCTTCTAATATTTAACGCGTCAAAATATAAATGTATGGCATCCACTAAGGATAACGGTGTTGGATGTATAAAAATCGCTTCTAATTAATGATGAGGCAATAAATTATTTAGAAAACGACGTCCATCGCTTGTCCAGGGCTATCCGGACAGTTTGCTAAGTGAGAGGCACCTATCTGAAGATAAATGCACGTCGATTTCGCATGTATGCGTGCCTGTTAACTGTGACTGGGACGCTTTTCCTGAGCGTGCACGTGTAGATAGATTTTTTTCTTTACTTTCGCAAATTGGCCGAGTCGGTCATACGACTGCTGCGCAGTAATTGTAACAACAATCAATAACATGATGTCGTCTTTATCTAGAAGCTTGTACTACATGTTAGATTCGAATGTATAATAAGCAATGGTGGGGCCATTAGTCTGAAACGCCTTCCTGAAGAGCTGAGGTTAGCATAAAATGCCTACACTCGATTGACGGGAAGGCCAGTTGATCGGCTAACGTCTGCCAGCCAATGCCCAGATACTTCTAGGTTTATAAGCGTGTTATTTTTATTTTTGTCGGCCCGTTCCCTACTTGCCTAGCGCAGAGCGGACTAGAACAATGTCTATACTAGACCGCACGTTCGTATTGTGTTGAAAATAAAATCATATGGATGCTGTACATACACAGTGCTGCGTAAAAAGCTCGATCTCGTCCTGTTGTTTCGTAATTCGCGCAAATTTTTTGTTAATATGAGCTTGTTATAAGCTTGCTACTCCTGTATTTTATTTAATAATGCCGATATGTTCACTCAGCGAATCATTTTGGCTTTGCTAATTTCAGCATTTGTTCTTTTTGTAAAAGCAATTATCTAACAAAAACTGAAACCCTAGTCGCGCACAGCACTTCAATCTTGTAGAAGCTGCGCAGGACGAAATTCAATTATACAGGAGCCTGCGTGCCCTATCGTAGCATAAAAAGATATGTTTCCTTCGGATTTTCGAAAGATCATACAATATAACTATGTAATAATACTGCTATGCTGTATATGTTTTCGGTAGTTTTCCTGCGAAGTAAAAGATCCTTCAAATACTACTTAACACATTTTCCTCTGCGGCAGCGTTCTACATTCTACCCTCTATATAGTATGCTATCATACAGCTGAAATCTAAATGCCGGTTCAACGTATGCTTTTTGCCATGGTGGTGCGGAGAGTAGTTGCCCTCTGCAGCAAACACAAACAGAAGTTTGGCCATTTTTCAATTCGCCTGAACACAAGTTAGCTGTAATCGTTTCGTTAGATGAAAGCCGTTCAGGACCTGTCCGTGCGGGACGGGATAACCGGCATCGACAGGAAAGGGGTCGGGAACGGCGGTGGCAATGTGCAATCAGATGCTGCTTTGACGAATGCTGTTTTTCTAGTTTTTGTGACCAAGCAAATTACTCCTACTGGTGCTGGTAACGTAGCAGTAAACGCCAAGTTGGCAGATGCCAGCCCCGTAACCGTAGTCGCATACCGTTCCTCGAACAGACGCTGCGGCCGTCGGCTAATTGTTGACAAAGGGATAGGACGCTGTGTAGATGTCCGTATGCATAGAGGGCTTGCCGCTAGTTGCTGTAGCGTACATTATGGTGACATTTTTGTTAACGACTTCATGCCAACTCCCCAAAGCAGACCATGCAGGACTGGTTGCCATAGTCAGTTAGCCCCTCAGCGCCAAACGATCTTCGTTCGATCAAATGGTTTACACATGTGGAGTTAGCATTTCTCTGTGTCGGGCCTCATTCTTTCTCTCCTTTACCTTCCTTTCGATTTTTCTCCTTATACGTCCGTATCGGTCGGAAAACGACGCTCCGTTTCGCTACATTCGTCGACGTCCTAAGCGGACCAATCGAGCGTCTGTCTTCGTGTGGTTCTGCTTGCAAACAATGGCCCTTCTCTCGACTACTGCCGGTCTCGCAGCTGTGTTCTTCCCTTTTTAGCCGCACCTCCAACAGATGCGGAGTTACTTTTTTAAAGTGACAAGCGAGAGAAGGGGTAGTGCATCTCATTAATGAATAGGCAATATTTATTTGATTGATCTCTGGACATCGCAAAACGACCTTGTCTGGGGGAGCTGGAAGATGGTAAAACGATAACGGCATTGCACTCAGTGGCTTATTATCTAGACGGGCTGTGGTTTAGGTTAATGGCAGACACACCTACTTTAATGGGGAAGTCGCCGTTCAGGTCCAGGATTTAAAAATTTCTTGCTTCGGTTCTGTTGTGTGAAATCTACTAGTCTCCTTTACAGAAGAGTTCATGACTACTATGATACACCACAAATGGTAATCTTTCGGTTTAACATCGTGTAATCTTTATAACATATCTATACTCTGCTCGCGAATATATATATTATTATTAATGATGCAAACGGTGCATTTTTATATTACTGTTGTATGATTATTCTTCTAGGAAGCGGACCAAGTCCATCCAGTCGTGCGGGTTCTTCGGGTTCATCAGGGGTGTCAGTTATATCCGGTGTATGGGATCCCGCCAATTTAGCTAGAGAACTTGAGGCTCTTCGTACCGAGCTGGAAAAAGCTCGACAAACCATTAACTCGATGCAAATTGCGGAGCAACAGCTTAAACAAAGGTACGTGTTCTACAAAAAATGTACATAAATATTTCGTAGTTAGTAAGTCGATAAAACCTATACTTTTAATTCATATGTTGGGTATATAAACGGTTTATTCATATCAATGCTTTATAGTCGAATGTTTTCAATTCAATCGTGTAGAGGTAATGCAAATAAGCTCGATGCGCTTTACAATAGGTGCTTTGTTAATTAAAAAACAGATGACAGCTTATAATACTTCCTATCGTAGATATACGTATAAGTTAAGAAGACATGCTAAACTATAAAACAAAGTCGACGCGTTCTTATAGTTAATGTAATATTAAAGACCTGTACTCATAACGATTTCAAGGAGAACCTAGGTGGTAAATTATAGGATTTCTGAATAGCTGGTGAAACCATGTTTACAAGATATGCAGACTATGCTTTCATCATGAACAACTACGTCGCCAGTGACCCCGCTCTTTGGAACAGACTATTAAATATCTGTAAAAATACATCGTACGAAGATTGATACATACTTATCAGCTTTTAAATAAACCTCACGAAGATACGCATCCCTTGAAAACGAGAGGTGCCATTGGTTTGCCTGAACACACAGTTTTGAATACCGCCATCTGCCACACAGCCGTAACGTAAATCTTAACAATTTTATAAGTTGAACTTTTGCACGTAATCTATCCAGCTGTCCCTTAAGCAAAACTTGATTGGATTGGACATTGCCAATAGCGCTCTGCCGCTGTATTATTAAAAGTGGATCCCTGACATTACAACAACCTGCCTATCGCCACAATTCTGTACAGGAACGCAGCTTAAATATCTGTGATTGGTAAGAGAGAAATCTTTTTTTCAGCACTCGCGTTGCGGAAGCTCGAAACGCGCCTCAGTAGACAGCCTAAAAACTAATCTCGGCGTGATAGGCCCGTTAGCCTTAACATACGCTCACGCAAGTTGCTTCTTTTTCCCGTACGGTCTGAAGATCTGTACTGCGTCATCGAGTTAGTAGCACAACACCAACAGCCTTCCAATGGCCTTTGTGGATATTGCCCACAAGCTTGAATATGTACGCAGAGGGAGTGGTGTACGTAGAACAGCTGACGATCGAGGCAAGCAGGAAGCGAGGAACGGTAGATTCACAGAACGAACTACCCTTGATATTTTTTCTATGCAGTAATTGTTTTCTAGCCAAAGCTTACGTTTTGCATTAATGGAGAGGCATTTCCGCTAAAACTTTCCACTGCTCCCAGATCGTGTGTATACTATGCATAATTAGTCATATTCACTAACGAGCTTGCTTAAAATGCTAAATAGTGTGGCGCCTTTAATTAGATTTAAAATGTCCTTAGCGGCCTTATAGAAGAACGTTAAAATCATTTGCTACTTGAATAATTGCTTGAATAGTTTCAATTCGGTTCTCAGTATACAAGGGGATATAATATAGATGTGCGCAAATTTTTCACATCAAGAAAATTGACTCATGCAAAAGACTGATTAAGGCTATGCGTATGTTTTTTTTATTTATGCGTATATTTATTATTTATGCGTACGCTTTAATTAAACTCGTTAGTTAACGTGTGCTAAGTGATACACCATAAAAATTGACAGTAACTGTACTTCTTGTTGGCAGCATCGTCAGGGGGTGGCGAACGACTTTTCCGTTTGGAAAAATGAGCCTCGTAAGGTCAATAATATCTCATGTTATCCTTAATTCCCAGGATAGCTGGATCGGCGCAGCGCGTTGAATGACGAGCAGCGCAGCTCCTTGATCACGTCCCAGCAGCAGCTGCTTCAGCTGCCGCAAAGTCGAGAAGGACAATGGCGGAGCGGACTTTCAAGAAGAAAACTGACTATTGCAGAAAGATAAAGAACGAAAAACAACCTTCTAGGAACATTAAACGGCATACGCATCTTGTCGATAACCTCTTAAGCGTCCTGTTGAATCTTATATTATTATGCTGCGCAGTTCCCATGGGTAACGTGACATGCATTCACGTAAGTAGGTAAGGCAACGTAAGGAGAGGACGTTAGAATTACAGCTACCGGGAATGTCATGTCCTCTCGAAATGAAGAGGATGAGTAGAATCTTGAGATTGTGATTTTTATTTCAAATATCTCAAAGGATCTCCGAGCGCATAAGGTCGATGATATACGTATGTATGCCTAATAGGTTTCGCTAGCCGGTCACGGAACTGCCGAACTACGAAGCCACGGTGCCGATAATCCGATGGGAAATCAAACCTCAATAATGATTACGTGTGTGTAGATACAGTCTCTACGTATATATCCTAAATACACATCCGACTGAAAAAATAACAATAAACATATCTTCTCAGGCATATTTACTGATCACCTTGTTAGATTCGTGCGCCGTTCACTCAAGGCCATATCAAAACATATTCATACCTTCTATAGTAAACTTCGAAATAGTCCAGAGACCGTGAAAGTAAATGTCGTCTTACAAAGCAGCTTTGTAATATATTCAGCAACCCATTCGAGGCTGCACAACAGAATCGACGTCACACACTAGGATAACCTTAATTTTTCGGATAAGGCATCCAGGCACCGAGGTTGCTTAAATAGCAACGATGATTTATTATTTGGTTTTCTAAATATGTTTTGTAATACACTGTCCATTGTCTGCTCGCTTTATCTAGTAGGAAAAAAAACCCCTGCTACTTACTTCTATTGACCCGGACGTGTAGGATGCTTGATTGAAACAGTGCGTGTATTTTAAGCGTATACTCTCGAGAATGCGTGCCTTCACTACAAAGTAGGGCCGTAATTAATTTTAATAAACGTTGCACTTTCGTCTTGTTCACGTGTCTCCTATTTGTTTTACGCATTGCACGTAAGTATATTTCACGAAATGAACAATAGTTCATTAGTTATTGAAACTCAGGGGAAGTTTAGATATCACACCGGCGGTTCCCGTTCGCACGTTTTGTAAAACCTCACTCACAACATCAGTCACGAAGTTAACATAACGGTATTATATCAATGCAATTTGCGCTAAGAACCCTATACTTTATCATACAATTTATACTGGAGTGAAGCACAGACGTGTTAGGTCAAGGCGAGTTACGTGATCAAGCAACAATACTATCGGTCGGAACGAGATTACTTAGGTACCGCATGTAGCCACCATGTTCGAGCCTGCATTATCCTTACGGTTTAACTCAGAGCGCATTTTTACATCCTTCAACTTAACAGTAACCGATATGATTAAACATGGCCGACGTCGAAGATCTATATCCCCCACAAGGCAAGAATTTTTTTTAATAACCTGGAATCTTCGACTTTAAACGGATGGCTTTCCGCAGGTTTCTGCACACGAGTAGAACGCGAGTCTTCGCCTTAGCACTGCTTGCAAAAACTACACAAAACAGATAATTAATGACGCTATCATCTTTTGACAATGAGAATCGCCGAGCTATCCGGATCCTTCCTTAACGTTCCTGTAGTTTTCGGTAGAGATATTTTAGATTTATGGCCGAACAGAGTATGGGCGGGTCAGAGTCTTCGCATTGCCTATAGCAGTTCCAACGATCGACAGAGGTTTCTTATTTATCATGGCCTCAACAGCCATTCCATGGAAGCGTACTTGTTGATCGTGCGAAACGTTAAGATCTACTTATTTACGCGCTTTTCTGTAATTCCATGTTATTGCGAATTTGGCCAATTTAGCCTAAACTTACTCACTTACCTTTATTGCACAGAAAAATGCAGCTCCCTGGCGGTTTGTTTGAACTTTTGTGCACTAGCTTGTTGCGTATTGCCGACAAACCTGTTAAAAAGCTACCTAGTTGTTAATAGTAAATCAAAGGCGACCAAATCTGGCATACCCGAACAGACGCATTTTGCTTCTAATCCGTCCTCTCTCTGAAACAATATTGGACCGACGAAATCGGTACCAGAACAATGAATAGTAATACCGGTTCGATTCAAAACGCTAATAGTTAGCGGTTTCTCTCGACAGCCGGTTCGGCCTTGTACCTAAGGTATGTCTTACGTACACCGGCTATCCTACATGCATTCAGCATAGAATAGCTTTCTCTGATGGAGTGTAATGTAGCAGATACGGAACGGTGCAAACTTCAATTGAATTTAACTTAGCAACAAACGATAATGCGATAGGATAGAACAATGCTTTATGCACTGACAAATGGTTAGCCTTCTCTAATTATCAACGCAACTATACCTCAAGTACTGTGAAAAAGATCGTATTGATAAATGCGACTTTTGTTTCAGCTGTTTTTGCAATGACCCTCTAACTCAGCGTGGAATGTCAACATCCTTCGCAAATTTATGCGCGCTAATGAACTTCCAAGTTAGACCATACGGTAATATTTTTTCGACCATTGTTAATAAAACGCATCGTAGTTGCTACGAAACACACCAGCTGTATTTATACTGGGAACTTGTTCGCATTCGGCTTGTCTTGTTTGTCAACACATAATATGCGCACATAGCAAATGGCGGATGATGTGCATCTAGACCACCTTGTGGCTAGTTACAGCACTGTCTCTTACATACACTTAGATACGCTCACTTGACTTCGTTTACTATGGCGGGCCAGAAAACCAGATGTTTCTAGCTACGCTTCGTTCAGAAAATGGACGTCGACTGATCGGAAATAATAACTGTTCGATCTCGGTGATGCTTTTAGCTACCTTGCACCGAGATAATGGTTTCTGAACTCAGACAAGGGCTGGCGGATTATCGCAGTAAAGCATCGTTTTAGGAATCGCCAGTCTAGTTTACCGTATAAATTGCAACGACCGCGTTTGGGAGTAGATTCGCCCTTAGATAAGCAGACGCGTGTCTTTACCAACGAAGTCGATGATGACGTTAGTAGATATTTTAACCCTACGCAGTCGAGCTTACGTAGCAAAAACAATGCAGTTTATATGAAGTCAACACCAAATGCCCTGTTAATGGACCTGTACTTAGCGAAGTAAAAATCGTTTTGCTGAAATTTCGCTAGAATTCTAAATTGAAAAAGCATTATTTCGGTTTCTGGACACTTCTGGGTTTTTGAAAATACCCAATAGTAATAAAAGGATCCCAGCAAAGTGCGGCAGGAGGGTGAAAAAGATGGCGCAAAGAACTCTTTGTACGCCAAAAATTGTGATTTTATATTTCCGAAAGTGAGACTTCGGCCAACGCTTTGCTTATTTTCCCAAAGGAAGTAATCTGTTATGTGCAGAACATCGCTTAAGGCAGATCGATCTTTTCGTCGCGCATCCACAAATCAAAGGATTCACTTGACTTCTTCACAACTGCCTCAATGGATGAATAGTAAACAAGTTAATTTGTTCTTCTTTTCTAGACAACTATTAAAAACAAAAAATCTATGTTCTATATATTTTTGAACCTTCAGCGGTTTTGAACTCCTCTTCGTCTCCATCATAATATTAGAACTATGTCCCAAAAATTAATATTCACTCGAAGAGCACTGATCACACACAACAGCCTGAAAACGAAGGTTAATCAACCGTTGAGATCCAGCGGAAGTTCCGGCATAGATCCGAGGGCCCTGTTTGGTGCATGTTTCTTCAATACTAGATCCTCATCATATCAAAATTGCTTATGATCTACTTCCATAGGCCGCGGCCACAAACTTGAAGTCTCCTTCCTGATTACTCCCGCATCACTCCGAATAAGTTACACCTCTGCCATCAGACATCTCGTTTTCTACACGGACTCGTCTGTTTCATTCACTCTTACTTTGTTTTATGACCTCGAATTATCACGATTTATCATTGAACCTCAGAGAATTACGTATGGACACCGTAATTATACCTGCTTGCAATAAACTTAGAATAATGAACTATTCATTCATTAACTTAAAATAAATTTAGAATCTAAGCGCATTCGGCAAAGCTAACAATGTGTACACTGGCTTACAGATCGTTGTATGACAAATTATTTCTCCGAATAGCGATAACACCTATAGCCGCAGACATACTATCTTCAATAGTGCCTTGCGTAAAATTCGCCGTAAAAAAAGATGATCTACTAGACGTATTCTTCGACGACTAGTTACGCTACTTAGAACCTAGCTTGACAATAGGTACCATGACTCAGCACGATGTCAAATAGATACAGACTCTACGATTCGTCTGTCTGCTGTACTGTGATTGAAGCTGAATTAGAAATATCAGATCTGGCGATATAAAATTAGCCGATAGGTTGCGGATACCAAGCCTCCTTTCGCTTTATGACCACACACCTCGAAGCAAATCACAACAACACAATCAGTTCGAGATAGAACTGTTTATAATAGCTCTGGCAACCGGCACAATGGCTCAAAATGATTTTGACCTGTCTTGAAAAACGTATCTGAATACAGTTCCCTTTGAGAGGTTCTTCTGAACAGCCTTTCGAACTAAATCTCATAAACTTTATCCGTGTTTCCTTCAATCTGATCGTGTACACTCTTTGATCGATCAGCCTTTGTGATGATATCAGCCATTTATGAAACCGCCCTTGACAACCAAAACTTCCAGAGTTGAACGATGTGTATTTTTAGCATATCCTCACCAACGGTTCCGTAGCAATCCCGTAGCGAGCGTAAAATGAAGCGATGACAATCATCAAAAAAAATCATAAGTAAAAGTCACGGTTATAGTTGTCGTATAATGATAGTCAATTAGTCCTTCGAAGTGTTCTATTCAAGATAGAAGAACTTGTCATGTATTCTCGTATCGTATTCCTTCTGTCGTTCACACATACCGAAAAATAGATGTACGTACATGAAGCAACTGTGTTGACTGAACGACTGAATATTTCGCTGATTTTCGTAGGTTACTAGATTTCACCTACGGCATTCTGCTGGTGTTGTGTCAACGATACAGACCTTTTTCAGGGGGGCATCCTTAATCTTGAGATTTATATTCGTATCTTGCTGGGGACTCTTTGTAAATGGACCGTTACAATGTCAATATATCTCCTTATCAGTTTTGATATAGTAATACGGTTTTCTATATTTCTGTCTGCTGCAGACTGGCAGCAGAGGCACCTCGCACAGCTGGTGGCCTCTCGGTGGCGGATCGTGGCCTGAATTTGGCGAATGGACCGGCTGCAGGAGGGACGGGTACCGGTACCGTTGGAGGTCCAGGAGTGGGTGGCCTTCTGGATAAGCGGCCTTCGGCGCTTATTCGTCGGTACGGAGCGTTATACGCCCAAGCGCGGATCGATACTCTTGACGCACTCGAGAAACTGCCACAGCTTAGTGATTGTGACGAACTCAAATCCAAGTTGCTTTTCTCTGTTGTTGTGGTATGGACTCAACTTTAACTATACACTCATCTAACTCGTATAAATAAACTGTTTAATAAGAACTTTTGGTAGCTGAAGCAGCCATACGTAAGCTGCAAGCAGATGGCCGGCATTAGATGACTAACGCTTACCTACCAACAAAATGATCTATCGGAGTCTCTTTTTGTAAATTCTGCTTTTCGTTATCTTCACAGTGTTCTTCGTTTTATTTCTTCATGATTGAAGAATGAGAAAGCGAGTTTTGAGGAGACTCAAATGTCAGTACATTTTTCGATGGCCGCTTTCAAAGCCACTCTAAAGAACAACGACAGATATACGTATTGCCATTTGTGTGTTCCTCTTGTGCGGTGCATTAATTAACGTGTGGTCCTGTTGCGCTTGCGATTTGTACTTCGATTCACAGCTGGCTTTCCGTTCAGTAGGAAATACAATTGCCGACATGAAATCGCAAGTGCGGCGTGCCCTACGCGTGAAAGGTGACGCTACCTCAGATCCGTATGCCGAAGATCTTGAGGCCAGCGTTGAGCTGTATCTCCGATCAAAAGCCGAGGATTTCGATGTTACGAAGAACATTCAGGTACTGCACCCAGCTTACTTACTCGATTTCGTTGAGGATAGGAAGCGTTTATTTTATTTAGAAATATTATTTCATCAAATATTGATTAATAGCCATCTTGCCTACTTTCGATACATACAGCCTGATTTAGTAGTGTGACTTTGATTGTTATTGTACATTGGGGTTAAGTTGGCCTTAGTGTATGGCAGCCTTGCTCGATTGATTAAGGAAATATACTATCCTATGTTGTCAAACCGATAATGGCTGGAACTTTCACACGGTACGCATGCAACTGTTAGCTGCGCTTAGCCATTACGGCTATGTGCATACGAGTTACTGTATTCTGAAGAGATTGATAACGACTTGAAAATAGCCCACGCACAAAAAATTTATCCGTCGAAAGCAAGCAACATAGAGTAAAGCCAAGCTTGATTCGAAAGGAATTTTTGCCTTGTTCCGCGTACCGCCTTGTCCGGTGCCCAACATATGCATGTTTTATAGAATCATTCGTAAGGATGTACATTTATAAAACACATTTTTGCGCTGATGCAAAGCTCTTCCGCTTGATTAAACTCTATCTACAGCGTGTCTATAGTAACTATGTTGCAATAACGCCCCAAACGAGTTAGTCCTCGAGTGGCCATGGTGTAAGAATTTTGCCTTACGCAAAAAGTAACATCAGTTTGTAACGTGTCATGCAGTATCAAAATTCTGTTCACTTTATCATATTTTTGGCGTTTTCGAGCACCCTGGGAAGACATAGGGGCGCGGGTTCGCAAACTCCGGCAGTGTCAAAAAGCAAGTGAAGAGAAGCATCGGTCCAACACAAACAGATTCCTAAAAGCCTGTAAGGTATGACGCTCAACAATACATTCGTATAAGTGCATATTTTCCTATAAGTTAACTGGCTTTTTAGGGAATACGAATTGCTCAAATATCACCATAGAGGAGTTACTTTATTTTAACCAAAGCTGCGTTGATAAGCCCATATTCTTTCGCTTGAAAAATTTGCAAAGGTTTTAACACATCACTGATGGGCTTTGTTAGACTAAACAACAAATATTTGACAGGGAACAATAAGGAACAGCTGAACAGCACTAATGGTTCCTAAATTGACGCCATTTTATCGATCGCGAAATGTCTAGTCAGTGGCTTTAGTTAAAGGCGAAATAAAAGGAAAAGATATTTATTGACTAATGAAAAATTAACCTTAGTTACTTTACGCAGGCATAAACACTTCCGTGATAGCATTACATGTTAATCGTAGGGACACGTGGGCTCGAACCCGGACATAAACACATCTCATTTCGTGCTGGAAGCCAGCCGTCTGATGGAATGCCCAACAGCGATACCGGACCTAAAACTCGAAACATAAAGGTCCAGACACCAATAGGCCAAATATAATAATATCACCATCATACAAATCATGGGATTCGTGTAGAGGTGAATTGAACAGAAGCCATGTGCACACTTATGGCTTAAGAATGTCGTATTTGTATGAGAAAGCTGTCAAGCGTGTAAGTTCTTATGCTCAATGAAAATGAATAGTAACTTGTGTCTGTCCCATTTTTCGTTCTGTGTGTCGCTACCGAAAGAAAGCAAAAGAAAAAATTAACTTGACGTCCAAATAGGTAAACTTGAGGATGACTGTTCTCAGCTGTTTACTAAGAAAGGGTGACTTGCTTAAATGAGATTACACTCTTCATCCGTGGGGAGCAAGCCTCCTGGACAGAACGAGGAAACACGACGACGATAAGAACCTGTTCACACGTTGGATCTCATGGGAACTTTTAAGACCTTCAAAAACAACGAGTGGGAAGCTTCGTGCTAGACAAAAGAGGAGTAGATGGCTCTTGTGGGCACGCTGACTTGCATTGAGAAAGCGTAGAGATCGATAAGTTCAATTTCTTTTTTAACTAAAGAACATTTAATAACTAAGACAGGTAATGTTCCTGGAATTATTACTGATGTTTCACAATAAGCTGTAAACATATTTCTGTCATTTATTTCATCACAATATAGGAAGTGTAATATTTGCATTTATGCAGTTCGTCCATTATTATTATATATCACAAGACTCAAGACGATTTACAATTAGACCAGTCAAACTACACAGGAGTGTACTTACCGACACATCTAGCGACACGTAGTGATTTACCGTGCTTAGCTAGCGTAATTGGTAGATATTACTTGCCCATTTTAAAAGTATCGAACTCGATTGTTAAAATTCCTTGAACATATAATTGTAAATTTGTTTCACTAAGAGGGCTATACCTGGTCAATAAGCGTCTCATAAATTTGCGTTAAACACGCCCTATCGTCTCCATAAGCTTTTTCACTACTACGCAACGGAAATCAGAGGCTAATGTCGATGACGTGTAATTGAACCTCTTGTACGTCCGTTGTATCGCACTTGATTTATGCCATAATGAACAACGAGGTTTAGAATATGAGTGTCTCCCAAATAGGGAAACAGCTGCACCGATAACAGATCAGAAACAGTTCCAAACATCTCGGAGCACCAAAACCGATTAATCCAACAAACTTCCAGCGTTTTATTTCCAGGTATCGAAATAGGCCCTACAAAGACTGCAAGAACTCAAATATAATTTTCATTAGTAAACAATATTCAACGAATGCTATAATATCAAGGTACTATCACAACTAGTTGTACACAGTGGCTTCATCGCGTATGCGTAAGTTAGCATCGCTACCATGTGAATATGTCCTTATCGAATAATCTCCTCAAGTGCAAAAAACCTAGAACGAATCTCGATTTCAATTTAAATGATCAATTTTCGCCTTTAATTCCAGGACGTCTGTCAACAGATTCTGGCAACTCTGTATGATTATCCTTGTCTGAAGGAATGCCGAGGTTTGATCACCTATGTAGGCGATAGTGTCCGTCTCGCATGGGCACTCTCCACTCAGACGCCCCCATACAGGTTCGTTTATCAGACCTCCAACGTCACAGTGACTTTCCGTTTACTTTTCAAATATATATACTTGGCAACGAGTATCTCAACGATTCTTTCATATATACTGTGTTCATTTCTCGATCAGATTCTAAATCTTGAATTAGCAGTCCACTCTCGATAGCTCTGTTTCGATGTCACACGTTTTTCAAGCCGTTTCCTTACTATCTCTATGACATAACAGAACCATGTGTCAAGCTGACGCAAAAGTATTGCACACATGTTAATATGGCAGTAGAACTTAATAGAAATAGGCTCCTCACCGTGTAACCGCACTTCAATTACGTTAGTTCACGTCTCTATTACGTTCTTACTTATAGACTGGAATTCGAGGCACGGACGTTCCGACCCGATTATCATGTGCGCTTCCATTCATCAAATCAAGGATCTGACCATATCTGCACCTATCTCTGGCCCGCTCTCATTGAAGCTGAGAATGGTCCTTGTGTTCACAAAGGTGTCGTCATTACATAATCATTATAGCCAAAAATACACTGTAGTTAAGCCTTTGCCAACACGATTTGCGACATTTCTTCCTCATTCACTTTTTTGCTTCATCGCCAAACCTTCAGTCATCAAGCTCCTGGTGATGATGATGATGTCGCCACCAAAAGCTTCGTGACATAACTGGCTATGACTTGGTCAGTTTCAATGACTGAACCGTTATTCCAAACTTATTCCCAATGTACGATAAGATATATTCAAAACATGCGTGCAAAACTGGAAAACAAAGTATCGACAAAAGGAGGTGAGAAATCGAAAGATATACAGGAGGCACAAATCAACGTACAGAACACCCTCTATTGAAACACATCAATGATGAGATTATTAAAGACGTCTTCCTAAGACGTATGCAGTATCTACGACCGAATGAAACGGTAACAACAAGAATATATCGATACTGTCACTATTATTAATATCTGCATAGTTGCCGATAGTAACAATATTGTAACGTATCTCTCGATTGTTGCTAGAGTATGGTGATGGTGAACGTTTGTAATATACGCTGTGGGCAAAGCATTCGATAACGACACATCGTAGATATCCTGAGCAACTATACGCAGAAAGCTTTTAGCCTGTAATCGGTGATTACAAATTTCTCCTTTTGAATACCATAGACACAATAATATAGAGCAAAGATGTCAATAAGGATGACATCGTCCAGTCTTCGAAAGAGCATTATGTTTGATAGGGGACATGCCTCACTCCTTTTGTATGCCTCTTCCATGAGGCTTACTAGGCCTCGTTGCCCTGAGCTATAAAGTGTCATGCTGTTAGCGACACTTATGGCGGAAAAAAGTTGCAAACACCGAAACAAATTGGTTTAAGCACGCTCAGATGTAATTATGTGATCATTTTAAGAGAGATGAGATACAACACCTGAAAAAAAACTTGTCAGTAGCTACAATAACGATTATGTTAAGAAAAAACATGATTATGACAATAATAACAATGATAGGTAGAATATGATTAGCTAGTATAGAACATCTACAGCACAGAAGCATGCAGATGCAACAAGTAAGACGAAAACATATCGGCAAAGAATTTATCTAACGGCGACCTATCAAACTGTCTTCATGCAGATGGTCGAAATCAGACCAAATCGACAACCCGAATAATGCACTCACGAATGTACGCCCACTTCTCTCTGCACGATGAGAAGCGGATCACTGTAGCCTACGTCCTCGGAATTTTTAAGTTGTATATATACATACAATCTAGATTCACCTAAACGCGTCCATGAATAGATATGCTATTACACGAAACCCTTCTCAAACTTACCAACTACACTATAGACGATCGTCGCCTAAGCCGAGTAAATACGCGTGTTTAGTTATGTAATGTGTGTATTGAGGACGTGAGGCTCTGATGCGGCGACCTCAAATCCCTCCTAATCAGTACTGCAAACTTCCTACTCACAACAAATAAACGAAGATGAATTATTCAAAGTTTGTGCCTGACAATACGGATAAGAGGAAATGTTCTTAGAGCCCATCGACTTGGTTCGCCGATCCGAGAAGCACTTGTTGTTGCGCAAGCCACATCGCTCGCCTTGGAAGCAACACGAACTGTATAATTGTATTACGTCCGTACATAACGCCGTTTCGTTTGCGAAGACTACAAACAAGATGGATCGTTGTTGTGTACAGTGATCACTTATATACAGAGTCTACCTGTTCAGCGGCGGTCGCTGCTTGATCAGTCAGTACCGGATCGTGTGAATCATGTCAAAATGCTAAAAAACAACTGGAGTAATCGATGCGACTATTATACAGCTAACACAGTTTGCGAGCGAGGCTACGAAACCTATCGAGTGCTAACTTACCCCTCGGTACGTTTTCGTTGTCTTCATATTTATTCCTTCTAAATACAAATCGTGCAGGATAATACGAATTTAGCTATTATCTCTAACGAATAGGGAAGGAGTATCTGCCAACATCTGTCTAATCGAATGAGGAAAAAACTAACCGAGATTATAGTAAGGCACATTTCAAACTAAAGAGCGAATGAAAGAACACAGGCAAGCAATCGTTCCTTGTTTTTTTTCACACATACAACTGGCCATGTCCTTGTTATAGTCAACACAATTCGTGCTAGACAATGGCGATTTCATCAGGCTGGCCAGCCAGCCAGCCAGCCAGCCAGCCTTTTACAACCTTGCCTGAATTGAAATGGAAGCAAGACCGGCTAGCAGAACTAGTTAAAAAGACTAGTCTAATAATAGACGGAACCGCTTCTTACTCTGCTTTGAACTGACCATTTTTAAACAAACAAATACACACATATACGAATATAATTGACACTATTATAACAACGTTATTGTACGTACCATTCTTATATGCACACATAGGTATTATACTGATATTATTATGGCAACAACAGCAGCAGTATCATAACGTCATGCGCTGATTTTACTGATTAAAGATAGCCAGACGCATCAGGATACAGACGCGCGAAGTGCTGTCGCCTGAATGAGAAGAAAACAGATCTATGTACGACCCATATATTTACTATAAGACTATTTCTGACATCGTGATAATGATGTCTATGACGACATATATATCGTATGATATATACATATGCTATTAGCTAGATGAACGGATCATGAAAGCAATTAGGAAACTGCAACCACTACAACTAAACAGTACCGACGAACACTCCATGTGCCTACGGAATCTACCGGTTCCAACCTATTCCTTCTACTTGGGTCCATCTACTTAAACGAGTCTGGCGATTCACCAAAAATGTTCTGTTCGTGGATATAAACAGTGACGATAATAATCATTCGCCATCTTAACTCAAAAACCGACTACATATATATACATTAAGTTCATACAGAAGCGCCGTCTTACGGTAAAAAAGAGATTCGAAGAAGTGTGCGTAAGGGAAGATAAGATGCATGCATAGATGGTGGGGAGTAACCAGAGATGCAAACTATATCGCTTAGCTAAGTTAGCTAGATTCGATACCCAAATGTTATAACTTATAAGCAAGTAATCTTAACAAGCTGCGCGTAACAACAAACACTAGTGCGAGAGCAGAGTCGGAAAAAGCTAACCAATCGATAGAACAGAACGTGTATAAGATAAAAAGACAAGTCATAATGACAATATGGTTCATTGATTATGACGATGACCATGATAAGAAGGAAGCAAAAACACCGCAAGTGTGCCGTGTACATAACTATGCTCCGTCAGTAAACGGTAGTTAATATCCAGTATCACGATGTAACGGATCTACGTCCTGCATGCTACGATATGACACATATAAGGCGTACAGAACCCATTCCACTTAGGCTCCACCGTCTAAAACTTTATCATCACTTCGACCTCCAGTGTTCATTAGGGAACATTTTTTTCTTTAGATGTTATTGAACAAGTCCTCACTTATATAAGTCCGTTGTATGACTCACATCAACGTTGACCGACGTATTGATATCGTTTTACTATTTAAACAGTTTTCATAGCAGGAAATTCGGTGCACACCTGATGCCTGTTAAGTGTGTGATAACCTTATGAATAGCAAACTTCAGCGCTATCGTTGATTTTTTGATATAGGTCAAAGCCCGAATGATAAAAGTCGCTTTCAGCTTGATAGGAGTTTTCACATTAAAAATACCGTGTAAAATAGACATTGCTCGTGTAGATCTGCCAGGCGCTATACAACGGACTTGCAAGCCTTACATTCTCCTTTCGGCTTTCATAGCGGTGACCTTATGTTATAACATTATTGATAGCAACCAGTTTTCAAGAAGTGACCATAGTCTGATAGTAAATGAAATGACATGCCAGGATCAAAAATATAGCTTATTTCATACAAAACAAAATCGTGTTTTCATTAGATTTGACCAATTTTATTATAAGACAACATTAACGTTAGGTAGGGCTTTCACAACTAATCCCCAATACTTATCTCTCAACCGCGAGCGTTAAAAAGATATATTTAAGACTTTGTCTAATCAACCTTATTGCTATTTAATTTTCGTTGTAGATATTTAACCGCTGATAATAAATTAGCTAATCGTAACCCAGCATTATTAGATTCATTAGAGTATTTATTAGTGTATATCAAGTAGAGAGATTTATTAGAGTCAGATACAACAGCCTTCATTTCGACTAGTTTGAAAGTAAGGATTCAAAAGTTTCTTCGAAAACTATTTCAGTTAATACCAAGAACTATACCTAAAACTGAATCAATTAAAAGATAATTATTTCGTAAGTGCCTCTTCTTCCAATAATTTCTCCATACACACATACCTACCAAATGTTCTTAAACAGATTTGTAGATAAACAACCATGCCTGTACATGAGACATAACATTTTATTTTCTATTTCTCGAAACGTGTGTAAACACAGTCATTTTTATAATATTTCAGACTATAGTTCAAAACTGGAATTTCATCCTGATATAAGTTTCACGTTTAAACAGTATGCTTCATTCGTCCAGGTACTAGGCATTACGCAGCCACGATTCTCATAGATCCTAGAAGAATAGGCTTTTAATGGCATAACGTTTACGGTCAAATTAAAGCTATTTTATTTTGATTGAGCATTTTTGGATCTAAAATATGTTAGCTTGCGATTTTAGTCCTATAGAATTCTATCCCAGGCACCCTCTGCAGGGCTTGAACACAATGAAGGCTAAACTGGCGACACCAATCGGTCCTTCGATTGTAAAGAATAAGAATGCCTGCACAAGCCAATTTCATGGTCCACGAAAATCCAACAACTTGGACAGCACTGCACACTATTACAAAAGTTGCCCATATTACCAATGACGAAACGCCTCCGTGAAAGGACAAAAGACTAAGAAATATCATAGCGCCACGGACAGATCCCTGCAATTCATTGGAATGTAAAAGAGTCAGTAGAAATTTTTGACGTGGTATAAGAAGGAGTATCCTAGAAACTGAAATAAACGGTCCATTTGGTTTGTTTAACTATTATGCAATATTTTGTGCAAAAGGACAAAAGACATGTAAACCTATTAATTCCAGTACTAGCATACAAGTAGGTATCTTCACGTCTAACTTAGCATATAGGATACTTAGAAAAATGTTAAGGACATAGGTGACTTAGACGCGTACTTGGAAGACCTGGCACATCCTAGCAGAAATGGCCGGCAAACGACGCAGATGGCAAGGGGTACCGAAGATTCGTGGGGGGTGTAGCCACAAGGCAAGAATCGATCCACAGAACAGGTATTCTAATACCACTTCGAACTTAATAATCGCCACAACGGTGAGCATGAACGCAATATGGCTAGGAATACAGTTAGTCATCGATGATATCACAGTCTCTACTTTGCTGGCACAATTGATGGCAGTCTGCAACAAAAAATGGGGAAAAACGGGCCAATCGCGTGACGAAAATATTCACCTGTTACACATTGATGTAAAAATATTGATTTGGATATTTTCTTCGTTACACCTATACGCTTCCTGAGCATGTTATAGCAATGAAGCTTTCGTTAAAGAAGTTTTTTTCCACATGGGAAAGTTATTCTTTGTTGCGAAATAAGTACACGAACTTCCTGAAAAGCATACGCTTTCAGTACTGCAATAAAGATTTACTCACACAGTAAAGATCATCGAAGAGAGATAATGTTTCTTGTAATAGCGGGAGAAGCGTAACGAGCAGGGTCACTCTTTTGAGCGTTCGTTCTTTCTTCTTTGCGAAGCTATTATTGTTGGACCTGGCACAGACTCCACGCTTTCGGCTAGGCCAGAAACTGTTTTTAAGGTTTCTCCGGCACATCGGTAGCGTACGAAAGCGACAGTTGAATAAAAAACCTGAAGAAGGCCTTCTGCGATTTCGACGGTACACAGCTATCATACCAATGAATAAATTCGACTTAGATCAGGTACTTTTATATATAGAACAAGCAAATATGGATCGTTTTTTGCAAAAAATGCTTAATTAAAAAAAATTGGCGTAGACATTAAATGGGCCGAATAGTGAACATTTAATTTTTTACATGTTATAGTTGAGTGAGATGTAGTCGTTGGGAGGCCACAACGTGGACCATCGCAACTTGCCTCTTCCACGTTCTCAATAAAAGCATTCTCCGAATTATCGAAGCTTTTTGTGGCGCAGAGATCAGCTTGTGATTTAGCCATCCCTGAGATCGTACTTTCCGTCTCATTGACTTGTTGGATTATTTCACACTGCAAAGAAATAACTGGAGCTTTAGTTACAACAGCAAATAGACAGTTAAGGTACTACCTTAGTGTACGGGTTGCTCCAATGAAACACGCAACGTTCAACGCGATACTTGTCCCATCCCACCTTGTTTGATAATGATACCCGCCATCGTCGCCAAAAGTTAGCGATCCCCATCGAGTAACATAGAATGAACTTTGACACACTGAACATTGGTAGCCGTTTAATTTAATCCAGTATTGCTTCCCTCATCAGCGCCTGTGCTATTTCGTAATGCTTGAAGACCAATTGAACAATCTAGTGAGGGTAGAACCTATCCGATCCGATATACACCTGTTTTTCATAGGCCCGAAGTGCCGCTGCTTTTTGCCTATTTTTCGTAGCAAGTCGGCGCTTGACTATGGTCACAAAATGTATTGGTGACAAAACTGTGCACTTTGCCATACTCCTATGCACTCGTTGCCAAGTTCCAACTCTTAGGAGGACACCTTTAGTCTGCTGATCTACACGTTCAAGTTTCAAAGAGGCTTATTCTCTAATTGACACGTTGTGTGCGATGATGACTATTTTGACTTTGCACGTGTATCGTGCACTAAATGCTTTACATTTCGACGTACTGTAATCATAATAATTCAATGTTAACATGTTGAGTGAAATGCACGTTATGTGAATGGATCCTGTGTAGATATGAATGTGTATGGAATGAACGGCCTTGACTAAAAAGTAACACGCCAAACTAGTTAACGAAACTACAGATCAACCTAGCATTACTCGAGCAATCCACGGCCACAAAAACAAGAATGATTCTAAAATATTCTTGAACAGTTAAGACGAGTAAAGGTAAATTTTCAATAGTATATTAAGCACAGTCCGCTAGCTTTTATTCAAAGAAAAGAAACGTTTATATTTTATTATATAATATTTGATGCTAAAATCGAAATGGTACAACTTTTACTCAGGTATGCGATTTTAAATAGTCGGCCTACCGTCTAAAAATAGAATTAATAAAATATGAGGCCGTTGTGTTAAAAACATTTTATATTGGACGAAATATTAAGAGGAGCCTTTAACAAGAGTTTTTAGGAATTGTAACATGTCAGAATTATTAGATGTTAGAATTAGAATCCAACACCCACTTCTTTTTTAGGTTAAGGACTCAGCCCTACTCCACGTGCATCGTAGCCTTGACGTCAGCATCGCTACGTCGTTATGCGTCCACCGGCAGCCGCTTCAACATCAAGAAGCCAGACTTCATGCTGCCAGGATCCCCGAGGGCTTTTGTAAGTCAGCAAAGGCTTGGAACCTTCGGCGCCATTTCTTGAAAAATCTTAAACGTTAACGGATGGGAGATATCATTCGCTTGTGAAGCAGAGCATTCCCACGACCTGTCTTGTTCCTGCAAAGTGCCGCCATAGCACTATCAGTTGTTACACTGCGGTTGACATAAAGTATCAAGCTTGTTACCAATATGTGCGCAGACTTATTGTTCGCATGACTTTAAACTTCTCGGGTTACCAGAATGAATTCCATCCATAATATATGATACTATAATACCATTCGGTGTACAGAACTTAACTTTAGGCGCTCTGTAGTAGTAGGCGTAAGCGCAACACTTCTTGGGCTTATTAATTGTACGTTTTAAATTCTCATTTATGGGTACATTTATTTACACGACTTATATTTGAGGTGGATTTATCATGCAGAACGGTGGCGAAATATACATTATGTATTATATTATAATTGGAACTCTAGAATTAAATTATAAATTTTTGTGCTAATGCGGCATTTTGTTAGACGGGCAAAGTAAGGTCCGCGACTCCCTGGATAATAATGTATAATTCAAAAGCAAATGGTACAGTGACAAAATGAGCACCCATCGTATTCATGTTCTAAGCAGCCGATAACAATAGAAGGATACAGCTGAAGAGGCAATGTGGTCGACTCACTTCAGCTAAATGCTTCGGAGCACGTTGTCACCCCTGGTGCTGGTAACCTGTCCTTCAGCAACAGCTTCTAGCCTATGTGAATCATTATTCATGCTATTTTAAGTTTAATTACAATTTGAGTCATATACAATATGACATTATTGTCTGAGTAGACGTGAGGCCTACAAGATAAGGATTGTTCACGCAACGTTTCTCAGTTGAGTATGAATGACACTTGAATTCAACATTATCGAAACATTTCAAAATCAGTAATTTAATTACCACCATTTTCCTAAACATGCTCTTAAAGATTAATCTATATATATAGTGTGTAAATCTCTGAGAAGGCTCAGCTGCTGTGCTGCCGAAATATCGGCTGCTGACAGTGAGAAAAAAACCATTGCAAAGACAGTAGCTTGTTCAAGCTATGAAGCACTTGCGTACACCAGGCAGTAAGCCACTCTTTGAAATATCGATTTAACATCGACACGGACGGCGGACACTTTTGAACTGTCCTCTGGTTCTCGCATACTGTGCTAAAGCGATTCGGTGAAGAGGGAAGGAGCTTGGTGCAGTCAGCTCTTTTGGAGCTTGCTTTTACTTGAATAGTAGCGCCATCTTTTCACGAACGTAATTACAGACTGCTGTAAACTTGAAGCCGTCTGAGATAGAATGTTCCCTCCTTGGTGATTTCTTCTCGGAGAAATCCAATCACTTTTCCATCTTTCGCCTTTTCAAAGGGTTTATGTAGCTTATCTATTTAATTTGATAATGGATGTCTATTATTAGCTGTCGGAGGCGATACGTCTTGCTATTAAGTCCTGCGTGTACTCCTTGTAATACGTCTGGTTTGCACTTGCGTAGTTATCAAAGAAAGAATATAAGCCCGTGTGGTTTGGGTATCTTCGTGAACCACTTCGTGAAGTATCTGAGTGTGTATAGTAGGTATGGCATGCCAGCTGGTCGGAACCACTTTTAACGTGTTCGGCAATTAAGGCCGCTACCAGGCAGCTGTCCAGATACAAAAAAGTCCGTTTCGGATCCCGCTTTGGAAAGAGATTCGTTGTTGCATAAAACGACACTAACGATCGACGACGTAGTCTTGCTGTAATGAGTACGATTAACAACGAATTGTGTGACATCGGGTTTTACAGATGTCCAGCAGTCTTCTATTGCTTATCGTTTCATCTACAGCGGGTTTATAGAAACTTAACATTGTATATATGTATGGTCAATATGTATGGTCGCCGCCTTAATTTATCGCTTGTTCTGGCTTCGCCAATATACGAAGTGTATCTAAGATAATTCGCGTACGGTCCAGTCGTAGGATGTTCTTGTCAGCAAGAAATGGACAAACACTATCCTTAAAGTTTTCTCTGAATAAGAAAGTACATACATTAGTATACTAATGTGATCGGCACGCCAATTTTTTTAAGAGTCGAAAATCTGCACATTTCTGCCCTTTCGGTATGCATGGCATACGGTAAAAGACAGTCTTTTAGCTGTTTATAGGTTTAGTCTAAAACATGCTGACGGCCATACTCTCTAGCATTAATAACTCTACTAGATAAAGAGAGGTGAGACACAACCAATGATAGATATTATTATATAGAGCAATACCGATAAGAAGATGGTTAAGCCTGAGAGTCAGCGGTGTGAACTTCTGCACTTGGACGGTGAATGGGATTGTCCAAATGACCAAAGTACGAAGAGTATCGGGTATTATGCTAGATACAGCTGAAAGTTAAAATATATCACAGTGCCGAAATAGCCGATAGTTCTCCATTGGCTGCAACGAACGTTATGCAAAATCATTAGAAGAATGGAGTATATTTTTTTATCTCCGTTTAAGGAGGTGTCGTAATGTAGTTCGCTTTAATCGAGTGGTCTCAACTACGGCAACAGCTGGTCAACATGGCTATTCTATTTAGACGGTAGCAAAAACAGTCTTTACGTGTTGTAAATTTGGCACAGTCCGTTGATGGTTTCCTCAATAAGGACGCCTCAAATATGGACAGAAGATCGCGCGAGAAGCCCAATGTAGTGTCGAAAAAGCCTTCTCAGCCGACAGCTTGTGAAGAAACCCCAGAAAGAACTCTTTCTCAGGAGTCCTTCGCAAGGCAATCATTATCTGAGTCATAAATATTAGTATATCACCTAGAAAAGAAGTGCATTAGTGTATATGCTTTTATTCAAATTAGCTGTGATGCTAGAGGCGTGATATATTTTTATCTGAGATGACGTGTTCATCTACGTACGGGCTGTACGTGTTTTAGAAATACTATGTTCACAATGTTGAAAATTTTCTTTTTCAATATAATCTAATTTAGCTCAATATTATTATTACATGTCGTATAAAAAATTACGATTGCATACAGTACAATAATGGCTTCGTATACATTTTTCTCAAGCAAAGCTTGCTGCGTGAAGAAAATTTCAACATAATTTTCTATATAAGCAGAACTGTTGTGTTGGATATCGCATTGTCCAATCATCGTCGCCAGTGATATGATGTCTTAGATGCCAATAAATTTATTTCATAGCATTCGCCGGGTGTTTTGCGTTGTTCTCCGCAGTGAAAACTAGTCAACCTCATCAGGGTAATCATATTTCAAACTTCCATTCCCAAGGTGAGCTTGAGTCCATGTACATGGCAATTATGTCAGTCACATACAGAATGCAGACGATAACAAAATGAAGAGATTAATGAACGGTTTCCAGTTAGCATTTTCGGCATTCGATTGTCGTCTAGTGACTCATTACGCCGGCTATTATGGAACTATAGTAAAATTTTGAAAATCACCAGGCACATCAGCAAACCCAAAAACATTCCCGGCGTCCAAAAACGACGTCCAATTAACTAATAAAAATCAGTGCTCAGATCATAGTTTTATTCATAAACAATAGACCGTATCCCTAGACGAGCTAAACTAGGCTATTAGTATTTAAAAGGAAGTAATTGATTAAATAGAAATGTCACACAAGTGATAAGATTTTTCGAGCATACTTATTGGACATTCCACGTGAATGGCACATTAGATTCCATTCTATTTTTCTAAGCATATAGTACAAGGTATTGGCTTTTACTCTGTAATAATAACAACAATACTTTAAATATAAATAAAAATCGAACATTGCTAACTGGTTAACGACCTTAACATATTAGATGCTAATCGTTTATTTCCTATTGTTTTCTTGTTTCGCTCATTTACCGCCTGTCAAGTACCTGTAAAAAATGTGCGAAAAAAAAATTCAAACGCTCAAGGCATCATTAAGTTCAGCATGGCTCTTGCTTGTAATGACAGCCATATGATCTCATCTAACAACAGCAAGAATATAACTAATTTCATATAAATCAGTAAGTGCAAACTGATCTGAAACAGTTACAGAAATACATACTTGGAAGTCAGAATATCGACGGGCTTGTAGCCACTAGGATGCCAGCCAGCACTAGCTAATACGTTGATCAGACCGTTGTTAAAATACGCGTTTACCCTGTTCTAAACGAATGCATTCTTTAGAATTCTATTCGATGCAATACGAAGTACAAAATGTTTAAACTATTCGTAATTATAACTTATTTCTACGTTAGCTTGTATCCAAATCCTGAAAAAGAAAATATTGGTTACAGCCTATTTGCTAACCTATTCGAAGAAGGTATGCGTGAACTGCAACAAACATTAAACGTAGAGTTCTCTGCCGTGTAACTCATATGAAATTTTAAAACTTAACGCTAACTCTCAACTTTTTACACTACTTAATTTGTACAAATTATACTAATTTTGCAAAACTGACTAACTGCTTTTAGATTTCCTGTGCGTACTGAGCCCTAAAATAATACTTTACTGAAATTAGCCAAAATAGTTTTTACCCTTAAGGACAGAACCGAAAGATCACTTCCTATTATGGTGTCGACACTGATAGGCTCCGAAAAGCTAGTTTTCTACTGGTTACCTTAGACATGTGAAAAATAACAGGAGAAGAAACTCAAACAGCCTAATAATTTAAAAGAGATGTCGCATTTATCCCAAAAAAAAACTGTGCAGTCATTTTTTAAACAACATTCGTTTTCAATTATTATGCCGTCTGAGGCAATACTAACAGTATTAAACGTCACAAGTTACCATTCAATAGAACTAAAGGATCAATTATTTTAAAACTGCTAAATAAAAGAAAAACTACTCATTTAGGGAATGTCTTGAAAAGTGCATTTTCTGAGTAAATTGGCGAGACATCTTCAAATACAAGGAGACTGACATTTATATTCAGCCTCACCCAGCCCTGTAATATTACTTATGATGTTGAGATGTTTCTGTTGTCTAAGAAAAACCATAAATAAATTCCTTTAAGTAATATCAAATATATCCCGAACCATGGCCCAAGCTGATGAAAAGGCCCAGGATTTAGTGGGTTAGAGAGAGTCCCACAGTACCAGACAAAGCACAATCCAGTAATGTCTGGTCTGCATAATGCATTGCCCTCAACCTCCAAAAAAAAAGAGATTTGAAAACTTAGTTTTCTTCTGAGTTTACAAGTAAGAAGGGTATTGTATATATTAATAACTAATAAAAACACTCTCCGGTTAAAGTCAATCAACATGGTTTGAACCTATTATCAGTTATGGTTTTAGCTGAGTGCTATTCACTAATTTAATTGACTAGAGAAGTGCCTCGCCAGGATGGTATTAGACCGACCGTAGCACGCGTACCATGAAAAGACTCCTCGCAACAGGCCCTGGACTATTTGTACATTGGTATTTTATTTGCCGATAACCAAATGACGCGTTTGAAGGGCGAATACGTTAGGCTATCAGCCCTATTGCTATCTTTGCGCAAACTCTTACCTTCTAAAGTACTCAAGTTTTTGCGCGCGTAAATCGCTGTGCCAGCTGAGCATTCTAATGTCACGCGATAAAATACAATACGTGCTCATAGAAATGGAAATTGAGCAAATCATATGAACTTATAGCCTTGATGTAAAATCCTGGAATGAATAGACAACAATCGCCTAAAAAGACGTTGCTATTTAACCCAAAATATACGCTTGTAACGTCGAAAAAATGAACGTATAGTAAATCTATCAGATATCAGGTATTTAATAACAGTTGTATAGGAAACATACTACATGTATGTATAAATTACTTGGTAATCAAAGATTTGTTTCTTAAAGCAATTCGGACACAATTGGTCAGTAGAAAAATGATAGCAATGAAGTCACAAAACGAATTCCCAAAAACAATATAGAAGCTTCTCCGTTATTATTCGATCTGTCCACTTATATTTTGATGCATCTCTATATTTTCTGGTTAAACTTCCAAATACCCAATACATGTCATTAGCGTACAGAAATTGAAAACATTGTTATAAGTATCTATTTACTTCCTACCTAACCTAACCTAACTTAACCTATATAATTGTTAATTCTTACGTCTTGTATCGCTTAATGGATAAGTTACATCCTGACATACAACACGATAGCATGGGATTAAGCTATTTATTTATGTAAATGAATATAGAAAAATTAAGCACACATACGCGTACATAGGGTATTTGCGAGACAGTTATAGAAGATCGCAGCAAGCAATTACGAACTATGAACAACGTAGTGTATTGTCAACAATTATGGTTATTTACCGACGTAAAATTAAGTAAATATAAATTCGCTTGCAATCGATACATTTCTAGGGATTCTCCTCATCAGCGAGTTGCTGACGATCTTCCTCGTTTTCCTCGGTAAACGGATCTGCAACGCAGCCGTGAGACACAAGGAAAGGCATAATGAGGACGTTATTGTACAACATCATACCTATCAACATAATAGCGAAACCTATAATGGTTAATACTGTGAAATTCTGCCATTGCGCGAAAAGACAGAAGACCCAAATAAAGATGGCACGCAGAGAATCCAGCACCATACGCGTTGTGGCCGATAACTCCTTCGTTACGGAAACGCCGGCGAAGTTGTAAAAGCTGATCGATAGCACAGTACCGAAATAACCGATAGCAACTTGATAACTGAAATAAAAATGCAGAAAAGTATTGCATTATAAACCTTCCTTATTTAAGAAAGGCCTCCCATATTTAAAATGGTTGCTAGTTACTGTAAAATTGCCCGATTGATATTACGTTCCAAAGAGCTCTCGTGATAGACTCACAAAATAAGACTTTGTTGCTATATATTCCCTAATAGTAAAGTATCGTTATAAACTACCTTATATAAAGAATGGGCTTTAATTGACAACAAAATATACATATATAATCGCTATAATTTCATTGAATTTTCATTTACAGTTCCTGTTTGAGATAGACTACTTTATTTGTATTCAGCGTATTTATATTTCAAGATTCTACATAAAAACTTACCTAGCCCCATTTCTTACCTGTTATAGATCTGGTAAATTCCATCGACCGTATCTTCGATAGGAACACCTCCGACTTTGATGAAATATAATGGTATCAATAGCAGGATCATGCCTATCATGCCGAAAAACCCTTCCAATCCAACGACTTGTAGGGGTGGCACGTTGTGTCCCACAATGAACTTCTCCTCAAGAACCATCTGCAAAGCGGTTATAAGTTGTGCAGCAATGATCAATAAATCGCCTGAAAAGATCAAATATAGATTTGAGAGGTAGTAGGAAGTGCTATGTAAAGTGTTCCAATAATCATATATATGTCATGCCTATTATTGATATATGTGAAATACAAATATGTATTAACCAGTAGTAACTCCTGCCGCATCAGGCGTATTTCCGATGTGTTTTTTCGAGCCAAAGAACATGTCTGCGCATCCAACTATCGTCAGTCCCGCCAGCACAATTAGAATACCAGTCCACTGGAAGCAGAACAATCTGCGGCGCAACAACAGGATCGACAGAAGTCCCGTAAAGATGATCACAGCACCTACAGCAGATCAAGCATCAAAACAACTAATGATAGCATTGGATTAAATTTCCACTAAACGCACCATCATTAAAGGTAAACCGGTCTTTATAGAGAAATACGTGTATCGGTATAGAAAAATATGCGTTGTTTATATACGTCACGCATGCATTGCAAAGCAACAAATAAAAAAAGTATCGATGAGAACCACCATGGTAGAAGTGTGTTGATTGCCGCAGCTATGGTGAAGTTAGTTAACATTGCGCCATAAGTCTGGCTTAAATTTCTATATAGATTTGTCCATGTCTTCAAACGGAGGTTATATTTCACCAAAGAGAGCCTTTTATCTGGAGTAGATTAGAAATTGATGCCTGCATAATACGAACGGTACTGCCCGTTGCTGAGGTTTTAACTAAGAACGCCTTTGGCTTTTACTAAATAATCGTCACAGTTAATATACTCGTTCATAAATAATACAACCAATAATAAAGCAGGTAAGTGCTGCCATGTCTGAGTTACCAAAAGAGAGCTACTCTTTTAATCATTTCGCTTGACAGTCTGATAAGTTTAACAAGTAGGATTATTTTTAGTTTGTTAAATTAAACCTTAACTTCGACTGACAGTTGGCATCTAAGTTTAATTCTATGAATTAAAATACACAGTCCTACGCGCCAAATAGCTACACAGGTTGAAGGTACGCTTTGCCTTGGACAAACCTCGAAGCATTTGTGCCGATGAAGCGTAAGTCATATTGAGTCCAATATACATGACAGTTGTACCAATCATATCACAGAGTACTGGCGGTATAAAGATGTAAGGGTTGAAATTCCGGTTGCCATTCAGGATACTTGGCATCTTGCTGGCTTCTGGAGAATCTCTAAGGCGACTACTGTATAAGTATAGCAGAACTTTGAAGGTCACTAGGCAGATGAATTCACCAAAGAACATTCCCAACGCCTAAAAAGCAATATGAGTTGTGTCGATTTTACGGTTCAGGTGCAAACAATAATAATGGCTAATTATACGTAAAATAATCACAACTTATTCCATTTTTGCATGTCACAATCACGTTAATATTCAAGTAAGCACTAGGCTTTCGGCCACTCACTTCTATAATTCTAAACAATCACACACATATTCATGTGATGTCATTTATGAAATATCATTACGATTCTTTATACTGCTGCTACCACCATTGGTAGACATTGGCCTACTTGCGACAAACACGTGGAAACGACAGACGGAGAATTCTTGAGAGGACAAGGAGTTAACCAATCTCATGACTTCGCTACAAGTTCAGACATAAAGATTAGGATGGCGCAGAAGGAAAACGTGCGCCAACTTGAGGAAAGTGCTATATTTAATATTGTTTAAATATCTCAACATAGGCACACTTTATCTTAACTCAGGCTCGAATTTGCTTACTCTACCTGCTTTCAATGACAAAACGTTGTTTAGATTAAATCTACATGATACTTCAATACAATTATTACAAAACTGTGACAATTCCGATAACAGGTGCAAGTTTCAAGAACAGAAACTCGTACCAATATCCGCTTGTGTTCTATGATTTGCGACTCAATAAAGTATAACGACTGCGGCCTGAAATGTAGCATGTACTTTGGTTGCCCTATTTTAGTTGGGGTACGCCCTTTGTACTGGTTAAAACGCCAATAATAAAAGTTCTTACAAAAACCTAAACCCAAAACCTCTTTAATGATTTGTCAGCACGTAAGTGCTTTACATATGATTGCTACCTAAGTGTGCTTCGGATCAAAATACAATTGGCCGGAGACTGCTTTACTGTAACAAGTGCAATTGTCGATACCACTGTACTACTGGACATTACCATCATGCTAAATCAGAAGAGGCCGCGTCTCAGCCGAAATACAAGCTGGCTTGGAGGCTGCATCTGCGTAGCACTTTCTTTTTGCGAAGCACTAACCTGAAGAAAGGAGTGCGAGAAAGGATGTGGTATCGTGGTGCTCGATCCATTCTTAAGATGACCATACGGACTACCGGATACGACCGCCATATCCGCCCATCTAGCGAAACAAATAAACGACCTTGTGGTTGGTCTTCGATATTCATACTTAGTTCATTTTGCATCGAACTATTTGTGTTTGCATACGTTCTTTTTTACGTGTATGTGCATAAAAGACATCTTAGCTTATTTTTAGGTATGATTTTTAATGTGAGCTTGACAAACCACAAGGGATAATCCTATTGTATAGCTAAAACTACTTAAACAAGCGTCTAATAGGTAACTTACTTTGTAGCAAGAGTATTGATGGAACCGGTAAATACTAATAATCCTGCCAGGAACAACTGATGCCCTGACCAAGCCATTGCAGCAATAGGGGCTGGTTCTTCCTCTGTGAATGTCTAATCCCAGAAGATTTATCTATAACAAGTGGTACTTGCAGAAACATTCGTCCTTAATCAAGTTAATATATCACTTATTTATTTTTTTATTTATATCGTTTTTTATTTTTTTATATTTATATCATGACTAATCACCGTTTGGTAAGAGAACATAGGGACTGAGGGAAAAAAACATATTTATCATGAATTTCTTCTACTACGATGAAATAAGCGCATCTGCATATTGGAATACTTCTAATGGAGCAGCTAATATTACATAACATTTGAACTGCCAAGAGACAAAAAGTTAGTTATAATAGTGAAGTATCATTTACTATTTTCCTATTGATAATGCAATTAAGTTAGGAATAATGTAATTGCAACAATAAATTCAGTAGTATCATGGAAGTAGAACCGCGAGTACTCGAGTCAAATAGTGGCTTATGAGTAGTATTGTCGTAAGGCATCTTTTTAACTTCGAGCACTTCTAGCACCTTGATCAATTTGCACAGCACAACATCATATCGAGGTTGTTAGTTGAAAGTAAGTGAAAAAAAAAGATTATCCATTATACCAGAGTTAACCAAAATAATCATTAAGAAAAGCCTAAAGAAGACAAAAAGTCGTTCCACAATCGCTTCTAGCAAAAATGAGCAATTGGACACTAAGATTATTATCAAATATTAACTAATTAAATAACTATATAAAAAGCGCATTACTTGTCAAAACTCGCAACGTTATTTATTGTCACTACTATTACGCGCGAGTACAGAAAAACTGTGCTACCTCTGTAGCTCAGCCTCTAAAACTAAATGTAAACGAAAATATCACTGGCGTATTCAAAAAGTAACCAGTTAATTCAACCTTAATTCTTTTAAATACTATAAATATTGTTTATTAGAACACATTTTTCTATGTAAATATGTGTACAATACTTTTGCTGGGTTAACAAAGAATATTCAAAGAACCTACTTGTAGAGCATCATCGCGGTTGCGGATTTTTTGCAACTATGTAAAAAAATAAGGGCTGTCTCGTTTCTTAGGAACCTCATAAAAACTCTTCTTAGAAAATGTTAGAAACATGAAATCAAATTAGTATAATTTGATTTCATCTAATTATCATTTATACTATCATTTAAACTGACATGATAAATCGTATTTCTCTTTTCCAAACACAAACTAACAGCTAAGTAGCTAGGTAGCGTATCATTTGTCGATAGTCGTATTGAACATAGAAAATAGTTAACGTTAAGAAATATCACTATGTGGGTTTTGGACATACTTGCAGTCTTGTAACTTACCCTGTTTCTCGTAGTACTCAAATAGACATAACATATAGAGTGAGCCTATAGCTAATAACGAAACGATCTCTATTGAAAAGATTACGAGGTACAATATGGAGCTCTGTAGAGGCAGATTCATTTCTAGCATGGGCAATACGCAAATAAGTTGTTTTAACTGCATACACAATAATCTGAATCGACAACAAGAACTTACACTGCCAGAGGAGGGACGACGAATTTCCGCTGAGTGAACGGAAATTACCTTTTCGGTTTCTCTGAACACACTACCTATCAGCGAAATTTATGATAAAGCTCGTTAATTTGGCACTCGATGGGGACACGAGCACTCATAGCGGTGAATTAGCTCTACTAGAAAAAAATCTTCACATAATGTGATCTCAGTTAAGCGAAGCATGATAAGTTCTACTGAGTGAAAGGGCAATGTAGCATGGAAACGCACACAGGACACAGGCATAGAAAATATCTCCGTGTCTAGGTTCAATCAGAAATTGAGCGGCACAATTCTGGCGACGATCAAATCAATACACAATGCCTTAGAATATGAAAGGTTCTCTAGCTTACAAGACCTGTCTCACAAGGAGCATTTGCAATTCTTACAATTTGCGAAAACAACATCGGAAATTTATTACAAATGTTGTGACTCGTTTATAAAATTACGCGGGTTTTGTCTCGCAGTAAGCAATTCACAGAAAGTGGATGAGTTAGATGAACACCTGGACCAATGGACGGAAATTGAAGTAGACTAACTGAACTCTACATGTTGGTGGGGTGCAACGTTTTCTTATGTAGGATGCGTATTAGATATGCTATATGTATATCTGGCAATATCTTGCCTATAATGTGTTATGCACGAAAAGAAACTAGGAAAGAGTAGACCATTCATACGACACAACTGTTCCAAGAAAAACCTTCCTGTTCCAAGAAAATATTGGATATTAGAACTGTTGACTTCATAGTTGTATTTTGTAATAGTTTTTTTACTAGTTGCTGCTAAAAGCATGCTTGATAGTATGCATAACTTATATATAGTTGACGTATTTATCTATGCACAGTTTTAAGTCTATTTTTTTTCTAAGTTTCTGTATTTCAATGTAATTTATACGGCCTATTTAAATGAACAATGATAGTCAAACGAGACAAGAAGGCATCCGCCTCCGTCCTATCAAAATTCTTAAGGCAAAATTTAGTTATTTGAAATCTACCTCTTGTGCACGTCACCATAATTCATTTCTATAGTATACGGAATTAAAACGTAAGATTCTCGAATTGAGATCTTCGGCCGATTGCTTCTTCATAGCAGCAATGAATGGTAAAACGCACTTTGGTGCAATGAAAACTTATAATGAAGGGGTGGGTGGAGAAGATTCGGCAAAAAAGCCCAATTATTAGGAAGATCTTAAGAATTTCTTAACAAACAACAGTTCAGGTTCAAAACAAAGATTTATTTCTTTCGCAAAATCTTAGATTATTCATGTGCTTTTATACAAAAAAAACCCACGCTCCACTTATTTAACTCGACGCCTTTTTTTTTGTAAAGTTTACGTAGCCACGAAGGGGGCATTTTCGTCAACTAACACGCGACCTAATGCGACAAGAAATAGATATACATAAAAGAAATTGATAAATAGATTCTAACGCTTTTTTTTTTGGAATAAGAAACCTGACTGAAATAGTTCCCGCGCATTGACTTTTAGGCAGTTGAAATAAAACAATAATAATGACATTCGTCTTTCTGTGAAACCAGATTTTGTTAATATTATCGTTATATAACTAGTATTACGATCATAAGTATGACAAGCGTTTTTAATGACTATCGAATTCGTGGACACAATATACTTGGAATGCCGTTGAATCGACATCTTTCGTCTCCAATTTTTTGTCAAACGCATGTTGCGAGCACATCGATGAGTACTGAGCGACCGGTACCATGTCTACCTGATTATCTCAGCAGTTATTTTGCGTTAACATTAGACATTTTATGCTGCATTCAAGCTCAGCCAACTTGTGTCGGTAAATAAACATTAATTTTTTCCGTGGTACCAAAAATGATTCTGGCCAAACAATCTTCTAGCAAAACCAGTAACGCGTTTTGTACGCGCCACATAATATTTGAAATTCGCGCCCCATCAGCCCTTTCCAAGCTTCTAACTTCGCATGGTTACATCTTGATGGCAGCCATCATATGGCGTTGCACGTCTTTTTTCTCCCGCATACCTAACTTTTCAACGATTCTGTATGCTGTTGAAACAATATGTCACGACAAAGCCTCCACGGCCCTGTAGACTTGCTGTCTCCTTTTGTTGCACGTGAACCGTAGTCTCCACGATCCGTCGTTTATTGGATGTTGTTTTTATTAGTCTCCTGTTTGGACATCGTACAAGCAGAAAAGCATTGGGGCATCCAACAACAGTAGAGTTATGTGGCAGTCGTACTGCGTAAATCTGAGCAGCTGATCTATCAGTAACCCCAGTAAACTGTGTCTCTCCTGACAGACAGTGATTGTGGTGTTTAGCTGCTTGGGAGATTGTGCCTTTATCATTAGTGCGATTGCATGGCGTTGTGATGTGTGTGGCTGGATGGCAAAGAGCAGTGCTATACCGTTTTGCGAGGCGATTGCCGACTGGCGGGCACGACGACGATGTTTTTATTAGCTGCTATGTGATGAGAACTTCAAGCGAGGTGTTGATCAGCTAATGAATTTGGATCAAATGGAGTCACTTGGTTGGCTTGAGGGAGCAAAGAACAACTACGAAGAATAGAACCGTAGCAATTTTTTTGCTTGGATACGCTGGCAGCGTACGTTGTAAACAAGACTACAGCTGGGAAGCATCGCGTTCTCATTGCTGTAACTATTGTTCCCATCGCTTATAGCGAGGGCGATGGCGAGTCAGCTGTGATTGCTCACGGCCTTACGTTGCTTCCCAGTATACGCACGCTACTCCAACAGCAAGCCGTATCACGACAACTACTACGTCAGACACTATTACTGGTAGTACAACTGTTATATTCGGTGCAGCAGTCGGTCGTCGCCTTCTACTGTTGCTGTTGTTGTTGTTTGTTACTTTTGGTTGAGTCGTCTTATCGTTTGGCAGCTTTCGTCGCCCGCTTCGAAAGATTCCCACTCATTGTTTCGATATAGCTAATACCGTTACAACGTAACTGGGAGCGATGATATCATAACAACAATTGTGAAGTGGAGCGTCGTCTATCAAGAGTACTATATCATCATTATTATAGACGTCTGGAAATCCTGTTGTTGTGTGATGCTGTTGTGTTGATTTTGTAAATCCTGAATCCAACTCAGCTTTGCTCTCCTTTGTTTGGTCTATTTGTTTACGGTGTGCGTCTTTTCCGAGGAGTTTAAGGGTTGCATGAAAACGATACGCAGAGACGCGATGTCGCCTGCGGTGCGCTGGCTGTTGCCTTGGGGTTATTGTTGACAGGGGGTTGGGACGGCGGCTGGCGCGAGTCGCCTTCCTTCCCACTGCTTGAGTACCCCCAAAACAATGTACAGTTGTTTAGCATATCGACATCACCACCATACCACTTGCTAACCAGGTACCGAATTAGTACCCGGAAGTTGAATGAATCAATTACGCTAAAGGCGACAGGCACTGTTGTGAATTCAGCCAGCCACTGCTAAAGGCTAACTCTAAGAGCAGTTCTGATTTGTTCGTACTTTAAAGCTGTGTCAAATAATTACATTTTTGGATCGTGCAATAAGTACTGCGCTAAAAAAGTCATCTCGAATAATTCCGGAACAAAAGGACGTTGTTTGTAATCGAGAACAATCCAAATCGCTAGCGTCGACGCCAATGAGGGGGGTAAAGGACGTCTTCGGTCTGGTCGCCTTGGCGGCGGCAATCAGCTTACCCGGTTTGCCATTTAGCGAGGCTCGTCTAGAAATTATACCGCCAAATTCGAAAGATAAAGAGATCAGGATCGACGAATTACAACCGATCACCTATGCAATGCCACCAGATGATGGAGCTATGGGGAAATTGGTCGTAGCAAAACCTGTCAATGCATGCTCTCCGATACAATCCGTTCCGTATCCAAGCAAAGACAGCTTCTCATGGTTTGTGCTAGTGCGACGGTACGACTGTAACTTCGCTGCAAAGTTACGCAACGCTCAACGGGCCGGCTATTCTGGAGTGATTATTTATGACTTCGAAGGACCAGATTTGAGCTTCACGCGTATGCCTCGGCCATATGGTTATGGGGATACCCGGGTGTACGCGGTTCTGGTGACAAAGCATGATGGAGCATTGCTTGCACAATGTACGTACGACAAGGATTTCTACATCGAATGGTTCCCGGCGTCTTCAGCCAACCTACTCAACTATCTCATTCCGTGCATTGTGATCATCTTATTCTGCATTCTCTTAATTGCTTGTCTCGTTGTCGTGCAACAATGCACAAGATGGTTTCGGGAGCGTCGGCGCAACGCCAAGTACCGCCTTGCTAGAAAATACCTTAAACAACTGCCGATCAAACGCTGGGCGAAAGGAGAAGAGTTCAAAAACTACGAAGTGTGCTCCATATGTCTGGATGAATATCAAGAGGGTGACAAACTACGAGTCCTACCATGCCTGCATGGTTATCACGCTAGGTGCATTGATCCATGGTTAACAAAGAATCGTCGTGTGTGTCCGCTGTGTAAACGGAAGATCGTTTTGCCAGGGATGCCCGAGGACTCGTCAGATGATGAGACGGCACCCCTGCTGGGAACAAGACAAGAGTCCAGCGGGGGCACCTTCCGTCCAAGCGAGCCCTCTAACCAAACCGTCCAAATCGAGGTAGGTGTATTTGTATCATGTAGTTATAACTTCAGGCTTACAAACACGGCGTAAACATTAAGAAACTTTAAAAATTTCTTCTAATTAAGGATTAAATTGCTCTAAACATAAAATAAATGGTAATGAAAATAGTGGACGATATTGAGAGTATATACTTACAATCCGATCAACGACACCTGCATAACGTTTCGTACACAAAAAAAAAGTTAAAACACCATTCATATGACAAGACCCGATGGCGTCATCTTACTATCATGAAAAATACTTCTAGTAAGCAGATGCATACTTCAATTTTTTGCAATAAAGGGCAGCCTCGGTTCCAAGAAGCTCTTGCTAAAACAACACAGCGTTACGGAAAAGCAAAATGATTCAATGTAGACACTGAAGCTCCTTAAATTGGCTAGATTTAGACCACATCAGGAAACTGTCAAGCTGAAACATGTCGTACATAGGGCATCTAACAGCCCAATATTCAGAAGTATTCATAATATTATTATGAGCTACGTCAAAGCCAGTTTTTGGATTTATTTCTGTAGGTTTTAAAGGATAAAAGATAATGCTTCGACCTGTTGGATTAGAATCCTCCGTATATTGTCATGTATATGTTTTTCTGTATGACAATAGGGTAACGTATTACCATTTACTAAGTGGTTAAAGAGTAATTGGGTTATGCGGCAAAATAACGGTCAACGACTTTCACCGTATTCATTGTTTTATGCGCTGTTTCGTCGTCTTCTTCTTCTTCTCGCAAATTTTATCTGTGCAGGTTCATCCTAATGTGGAATCCGAACCACAGTTAAGCGCTGTTGGACGAGTGATGGCACCCGGGGGCCTATATTCAGTCAACGATGAAGTGGAGGTGTTGCCTAGACCCAGACGGAACAAGAAGAGGAAGCGTCTAAGACGACCACGGGAGCCCCTGGATGACATCACTGTAGCAGGACCATCAGGCTCGACCGATTCAGGGGCCTTGGCTAGTGCGCCCCAAGCAGTCACCGTTAGACTAGTGAGTGAAAACCAAATGCTCTGCGTCACAGAGATGGGCTCAGATGATGATCAGCCATTACTTGCATAAGTTGTCTAGTGCTCTTGAATTTCTCGGATAACGCTCACGGATGTACGTCAATGAACTCCGGTGACATCATCGGCCAATAGTGGTTCCCTTGTATAGCTTGCTCTTACTCTGTGAGAGCGAAATTTTCATTTAAAACCATTAGATACAAGAGAGGCTCCCGTGGAAGTTCCAGCTACGAAAGCAACGCATAGATGTAAACGCTTCTGCATTTCTGAGGTATAGGAGACAGCATTCGAAAACCTATCCCTCCCAAGAAAATGTCGCGTTGCTTAATTGTCCCAGGGTGTATTGTGATGAAACTTTATGGTTTTTATCGGTGCGATAAAATTTACAAAACCATTTCATTTGGGCCTGGTAAGATAAGTATACTGCATTACTTTGCGAACATGATTTGTCGGTTCATAGATAACGTATATTTTTAACTTCCGATTTGAGAAAGCCTAGGCTTGTTATACGAAACAAAAAAAAGTCAGCTCATAACACTGATTCGGAGTGTCGTTCTCTTTAGCAAACCTGTCTGTTTCGAATACAAGAGTTAAGAGAAAAGACAGGCAAGCTTTGCTGGCTTTATATACAAAATAGTTAATGACGAAAAGGCACTGCATATATATATGCATAGTTTTTCTGCACTGTCTCTTGTTTATATACAAATATAAATAAGAAAACAAAATATCTGTTGTCCGTGAGCACAGTTCATGTCCTCGACAGGGGAGAACGTGCGTTTTGCGATAAGATGATGGGACAGCTAGAGTACGCGTTTGACGAACAATGCATCTACTTAATAATTAAAGGGACGAACAGCATGGTTAACAAATAACCACCCATTTTTGGCGTGGCTATGTAGGTTGAACACATTGAGGAGATGAATGACCCGTCATATATGTGGATAATAATAATAGTAGTAATAATATCATTACTGGTGTTGGTTGGATAGGAACCGTCGTTTACTTTTATGAATTTTTTTAACGAGCACAATAACGACATAAATTACATTCTACTGGCATGAAAAGAAGACGAAATAATAACACTAATTAAGACCAACTTGTTTAACATGCCGTTTACTTAGCGAGACTACTTCGTCTATTTATATGTATAGAGATGCATGAAAGACACAAAACAAAGTTGGTTAATCACTTCGTCAGGCGCGCTTCATTACATTCGTTCAATATTTGTATTAGTTGTATGTACTAGTCAAACTGAAGGCGGCAATTAATATGCGACATCGCTTGGCTGCTGTTGGTACACTGTTGCTCAGGCTACATTTACTTGCCAGACGGCTTTTCATGGGCGCCCGCTGTAAACACCGTTCCTAACTGCTCCTCAGGCCTCGGCTGTGTCATATGTGAGAACTAAATAGGAAAAAGGCAAATTGTGGCGAAATGCCATTCGTGCAGTCGTTGCTTCTGCGCTGATTTCAGACAATTACGAAGATTTGTAAAACTTTTCGCCATGCAGAAAGATATGAAAGATTCGCATAACAAGGAACTTCTAAATAGATTCCTACACTACTTCTATATATATATATATATATATATATATAGAAGTAGTGTAGGAATCTATTTAGAAGTTCCTTGTTATATATGTATACCTACTTGTGAACCTGTTTTGCCTAGAAAGGCAATGGATACAGTCTAAAGAATAGAAACCGGTTATGAAGTGTAAAAGTCTATATGGATTAATGAACTCTGAAATCGGCACAAGCTAATATGGGAAAAAAGAGATTGTTTCAAAGATCGGTAGATCACGTTGGTACAAGTGAGCCCTCTCAGTAAAGAGTTAGAAACAGAAGCCGCTGTTTTACGGGTGTGACGTAGTATTAATACATTCACTGTCCTGTTTAAAAGGTGAGACTTTTTTTATTTTTGCCGCTAGATTTGCACCCACTCAGTTCAAAAGCAAGATATCTGCTAACGAAAAACCTTTTGCATGTTTGACAATACTTTCGAGACGTTTTACATTACAAATAAAATACCACTAGAAGTGCCCGGTACGAAAGTTATTATAGGTGTTAACTACCATTTGACAATATTTAGCGAAGTTTATTTAGTTGTTGTCTTTTACTCTGAATCTTCAACTTGAATACTGACCGAACCCCGGACTAATTTTTTTGAACAAGTGTCTCGGATCAAATACGAAAGCAATATTATTTCTCATTATTTGTATAGCTGCTTTATTAAAGTTGAGGAACCATTATTTCATAGCTAAGCACATTATCCATATGAAATTATCTTATATGCAATATGATGAGAAAGTAAACACATACAATTATATTGTTTCACCTTGGGAGATACGTTTATCTATTCAGATTTAGCACAACATAGACCGCAAATGGCTAACTTGTATTGCTTTCATTGCTCACACACAAGTTGCGTAGTTAAATCTTGTAGGCGAGACATAAGGAATAAGAAATATTCAAACGAGTTTAGCAACTCCAGCTGTTTGTGTAGTTATTTTAGCTGTGGCTATATTTGCGGTTCCCAATTTTTGTTTAAGACAAATTACATTTTATTAGGCGAAATGCGCAGCATGGTTTAATTGTTAATAAAGAAAATCTGGAACTTCAAATCGCTGTAGACTTGTAGTTTAAGTAACTTTTTCATTTCTTCCAGTTGGAGTCATCACAGTTACTGGGCATACTTTACCAAAATTACTTAGCATACGACAAAAACGAGTTTTGGGAAAATGATCAGAGACTGTCATTTTTAACATCACCTGTTAACAGCTAACAGTGATGCCACTTTTCACGAATGCAGCGAAGGGTTCAGTAGAGAGGCCGGATTGAATGAAGCGAATTTGCCTTGTTGACGGTCTGTCAAAAGTCACAAATTCAAGAGCGACGCGGTAAGAGGAATGAATAGAGAGCAACAAAGACCATTATATACAAATGAGTATTATAAAGCGGAGATATGGCAAAGAAAGCAGTCAGTGGTCACATGGTCGGGTCGATACTATTACGCACTGTGAAGGAAAAGAAAACGACATTTTTCGAAATGCTCTCCACGTCACGCTAACATTGTGATCATCTAATTTCACTAGTTATATTATTTTACTATCAAAATAGATACACGTTCATCTATACTTTTAGTCTATCTATATTTGTGTATTATAAGAGAATGTATGATTGTCTTTTATGGTATGATGATAAGAGTAGTAAAAAATAATATATTAATTGACATGTTTGGAACGATGCGATTATGTATCCGCGCACATAAATTGCACGTTTTTCCGTCTTCGAAATCAAATTCGAAAAGACGAATGCCTCAGAAATGCATTCGCTTTTGCTTTTCAATCAGTCTATACTAGCAGCGCGAGGGCGTCAAGAAGTCATAAAATGGTACAGCTTGAGTTCGACGTTTTTTGACCTTGTGCCTTGTTAGCTTTGCTTGTGCTCAAGAAATTGCCCCATACTATTATTGTTTGCTTCAGGCTAAATTATGTTATTTTTGTTCTACAATACATTGTTGTAACCAATTGTTATGTGACATTTCAACGCAACTGCTTTTCTGCTGCTGTACATATATATATATATGCATACATTCAAATATATTAGCCTATAAACCATACGCGTATTTCGTACGTAGATGAAACTGGCTGCAGTGGCACGTAATGATAATGAAAATGATGATGGTGAAAAGAAAGAAAGTGTAATATTAATTATGTGGTACGATGTAGGGACACTGCACACTGCGGAAGAAACTAAGACTGCACATCAAGAGGAAATCTAAATAAATATGTTAACAATAATGATAATAACACGAATTATAATTACTTTAAAAGCTCACGGTTACTCATATAACCGTAGCTGAAAACGGTCTGATATACGATTGTCAGCAATTAAAAATAGACTAATTATCACAAGCGCCATAATCCCATTAGGTATTGCCGTAGATATCCGGGTGGCGTTAAACATTTGGTTTTGCATGTATTACACGAAGGTTCGCATGCATATTCAACTAGCTAAGATTTTCTGTAGGCTGTTCAGTCTCGTTGTCTTTTTCTCTAATTGCACGATTAGATCCGTCTGACTACATTATGCGTACATTCTCGGGGAGGGACACGGTCGACCCATGTCGCTGGTTTTTGTCAAGTTGTGTGTTTATCAAAATCCCATACGTGCGTGGGCTCTAAATTATCACTTGAGAGAGAAGATGCATAGGACCAATAAAATAAGCTATCAGTTAATACGGTAACATTTATTATGATAACTTCTGTGTATCTCGTAAACCCATTATGACCGACATTCATTAGGAGCATGAAGGTTGCACCACTGTGTGCAAATTGTAACAGTAGCAATCCGTGGCTAGGTGGTGTGAATGCTGTACGTTGATAGATGGCAAGAATAAAATTACATTTCTATGTACTATTCTGGCCTTTTGCCCATAGACAGTAAACGTGACGATGAATCATCCTGGAACTACCAGTTGAGCCGTTTTCGTCAGATAAGTGGCTGACAAAAAAATTTTGTAATAACCGTTAACATTTCTCTTCTATTTGCATTTTTACGCATACATACACAGACAGGTAAAAAAAAATCGGCACAATCAGAAGTATATATAGAAAGAAAAATATAGAGCTAAGAGTTTATAAACCAGACCTTTCATGATAAAACAGGACAGAAGTTCTCAAGTATCTAGAAACTAAAAACGAAATAACGAAGTAAGAAACATCAAAGTCCACCGGTCTGTTTTTTTTAACTGCAGGGAATTTTGTAGCATAAATACGCACTGTAAGGCTCTATAGCTTTTACAGAAGTCAAGTAAAAAGTATTGTCACGAAATTCTGAAGCAACTACGCAAGTCGATACGGCGCGAAAAAAACATAAGTTTAGAAAAAAAACACTGTATTCTTTAGCACAACAATGCGTCTGCCCATTCTTTGCTTCTTGAATTCTTAATAAAACCTAGAACTCGGTCATGGTCAATCATATTTAC